TGTTTCTTTATAGTCTTTCGGGTGATCAAATGGGATCTCCAGTGGCCGGGAAGATGTTTCATCCAAAATCGGTGGTGGACACATACCACTGATGGAATCCTTGTTCAAGCAACTGGCAAAAGCCACAGCACATCCGACATCCGGTAAACAAAAGAACATCCCCGAAAACAACTCCCATGAGTTCAACCACTGAGTGTTGCAGGTCTTTCCAACCTCCTCACCACGCACCTCCCATCACTGGAACATGGCCCCTCGCCATCCTGGCCTGCTAGCTCGACGTAGCGTAGCACTGCCAAGGCCTGGTCCGTAGCACGAAAGGCTCAAGCGGAACTCCAGAGATGCGCCAAAGCCCGTTGTCGCGCACCAAGTGGAGTTGAGCCAAACAAGTGACAGGCAACGCCGTGGAGTTGATGTAAGCTGACGTGCAGTGGGACTGCACGACTACGGGGCGGGGGGCTGTCACAATTGGAATGAGGAGACTCCTGAAAGACCGAAGATCAAGGCCTCAAAGCGAGTGCAAAAAGGTCCCAACAAAATGCCCAAATGGTCTACCTATTCAACAAAACAAGCAAGTGCACATGCTGGAGTGATGCCCAACTTCCGAAGCAACACGTTCGGCCTTGAGCGGGAGATGTACTCCCCAAAGCCTACTGAAACAGCCAGCTGTGTCACACCCTCTTCCTGGGCGAAGCCATACATGCAGTAACAGTCCCAATCAATATTCCTGAGATGCAAAGCAAACGCCCGTATTAAAACTATAGGAATATACCCCCGCCACTCTCCTGGTAAGACAAAACATCTGCCCTCATCGCTGCTTACCAGAAAAAGAAGGTTTAAAAGCAATCTATATAAAACAACACGGAAAGTCATTGAAACATCTAAACACTGAACGTGCACATCAAACACACATAAAACACACACACACACAAAACATGAACAGCACTATGAACAGCTACCAGCACCCTGAACAGCGGGTGCCCTGTCTGGAAGCCTTTTCGTGGGGTAGTGTGGAGTAGTCCAGCCAGGACACCCCGACAGATGTCAGGTATGGTATACAATCCTTTTCAATGTCATGACCGACCCTCCCAGGGTTCACGTCTTCCACTCACCCGCCTCGCTGAAGCGCCGGTGCCGCAGCGCCCGGTGCAACGGCTGATCGCCCCAGGTGTCGAAGAGCAGGAGCTGATGGAGGACCTCAGCGACGTGCTCCGCTGGTCCGGAAGGTGGGGGAGATGGAGATGGGGAGGCCGGTGCAAAAAGCCGGCTCTGGTGGAAGCAGCTGCGATCTGAAGGGTAGCTGCAGGGACCCTGCAAATGCCGGGGGCAAGACGCTGGAATTGGTGGTTCCAGGTGCCCAACATCCGAACTTTGATGAACGTTCCTTTGAAAGGTCCAGACGGAGAATTCGTGAGAGATCTCAACCACCAAACACAGATAGTAAACCAAGCAAAGAAACGGGTTGAGGACTTTGCAGGTGCAAGTCATCAGCCTTGCTCATTCCAGGTGTGCAGCTAAGCGTATGAGCCGTATGAGTGATCACAGTCTCTGGTGATGAGTCATGAGGTCAACTGTCCGAATTGCTTGAGGGCGAGGGAAAACCTGCAGGAAACCCATCGTTTTTGGTGGGTAAAACCTCATGGGTTTCCTGTAGATGTTCCCTTCCAACCCACCCCATGAAGCCTATGGCTTCGTCGGCGATCGCTCGCAAAAGGGCCCCTAGGCCCCAGGCCATGCTCAGAGGCAACTGGAAAGCCACCGGCTGCAGCAAAGCCCATGCAGCTGAGTGGTGAAGTAGAGAAAGGCCCTGTGGATCAGGTGGATCCGGGTCGGTTTAGTGCCACCGGCTGCGGGTGTAGGGAGACGTGCGGTGAGACCTGCGTTTTTGTGACCACATCCCTAAGACTTAAACATGCTGTAAGCCTAGTAGGTCGACTCTTTTTCTCAAGAACTTAGACATTTGAAGTTTGACCGGCTGGCCTGGCGAAAAAGAAAGAAGCGCCAGTTGCTTGTCAGCCGTTTTCTTGAGCAATCAGCCTCCAACTTTGTTTGACAGGCAGTCCAAACAAAATCCCTGGAGCATGACAAAGAGAAAGCACCGTTGCAAAATTGCTGTGCCAAAAGGAAAACACTTGTGGTCTACCTCTTTCGAACCTCCTTCGATCCTACCGTTTGGGAGCTCAACAAGCGCGTGCTCCGCGGCCCGCCTGGTGATCAATGACCGAGCAGTTGGCGCCCAAACCGATGAGGGTCCTCCGCGAGGACGTCGGACCGGCCCAGTGGAGCCTCCATCGTTTGGCCCAACGAGCCACTTTGGAGCCTCCAATGCGCTGTTTACAGGGTTAGAACGTGGTATGAAGGAGACCTATCCCCTGTATTCAGCGTGACATCGCGCCTCTTAGAACCTATAACCTACAAACGTTGTGGCCATCCGAGTGCAACAAGAACATACCTCTTGTTGAGGCTCAAGGTGTGGCCTCAACAGGTGTAGTGGATTGGAGTTTGTTTACTTGGAAACCTCCTGCAATGAAACTGACGTCGGCCCGCTCCAAAGGGCTCGGCGACTCCTCGTGACCTGGAACCCGCGGCTCGCCGCCGCCAATAAGGGCGTCACCCCAGAGCCTCGGGGGTGAAGCGCCACCATCGATCTGCCAGGGTGGGGTCCAGAGTATTTGGGGCCCGCTCCGGAGTGATGTGCTTCATGGTGTTTTTCATGGTTTCTTCAGTTCTTCCTGATATGCTCAGAGCTATGTGTTTAAAAACGCAACTGCGGTGTTCATGGTGCATGATTGTTGCATGTCCTTTCTTTTCTCACCTTGTCTCGCTCACGCTTGAGCTTCGCCCAGCGTGTTCGGACACCAGGCACTGCTATTTTTTGACAAAGGCTGAGATTTGGCCAGTGGTGAAACTCCCCACATTCCCTGGACTAAACATGATGTCCCGCAAAATTTGGAACGCGGGACAAGGGGTGTCAATGGCATAATATGTCATACAGTAGCAAGTCTGCATGACAAGAACATGCTCCATACAGCATGAAAACAGCACTGCCTGGCCCGCGGCCGACTAGCGCTAGTTCGCCCGTCACATCAAGAGCACCTGAATTGGCCCCCGATGGCCATGACTCGCCGGTCACATCCGGTTCGTGGTCCGCCACTGGTTCACAGCAACAACTCCCCAGTCGTCTCACGCCATGTTTGTACACCCCATGCACCTCGCTGGTTACCGGGTTATACCATACCCCCCAAGCATTCGCAGCCATTGGCGTCACATCCGGCGATTGCTACATGCTGCGGATGTCAGCGAGCCAGAAATCTTCGGGTGAGACGGGTGATGTCGTCGACGCAGGGTGAATTGGGTTGGATGTCAGTGTGTGTAGAGGCTCGCTCGGGCACTTCGAACCTAGCACAATCGATCCCAAAGGTTCGATGTTTGAGGTTTCTCCTGTAACCTCTCATGGGACTGGTACCCATCAGTCGGGGTGGTGGTGCCAGAAGGGGTCAATGTGTAGGCATTTTTGTGACAAACACTGTGACAAACATGGAGTATCTGGGTGTTGTATTTACATTCTTTTACATTGGTGAATGTAGGTTCACATGATCATACATGGAGTTTCTGGGCAGTGTGCAGTTCGAGAAACTCCAACCATGAGCCGTTTTCTGGATCATGACTGAGGGTTAATATACACATTGACATCAGTATTGACATCACTACCATCAATTGTGTGAAGGCCGGTGTGGCATATCAATCCTTCATTCACTCTGAGTCTGTTTCAGCAGCTGCTTCTTCAGCTCCAAGACCTCTGCCCCCTTCTTCTCCGGAAACTTCATATCGCGCTTGCTCACCATTCCTGAACTTTCTGTCGCTTGCTCACCACGTCCGTCACGCGTTTCGCGTGTCGCGTTTCGCGTGTTGCGCGTTGCGCCCTTCGTTGGGGCTTCTCCGGCGGATCTCACGGGGGGGTCTCCGGTGAGCTATCGCAGGCCGTCGCGGTGGTCACCGGGGGCAGTTGATGGCACAGCTGGAGCAACTTGATTGAGGCTTCGGTGTCCGGAAGAATTGGAGGGAGTGATGCGAACACACTTCCAAGAGTGTGCCAATCTCCAAGTGCAAAAACAACAAACCACACATCAATTCAATTTAAGGTGGATGATGATTGTAAGTGTGAGTGCAAGCGGCTCACACAAAAATAAGGTGTTGAATGACAGGTTCTTTTGGGGCCGGGCCGGGGAGACTGTGCAGGGAACGAGGTTAATTGATCCACGTACAATGACCAAGATCTGCTGAGGGTGCTACCGCCCACAAAAAGCCCGTTGCTTCCACAGCTGCTACTCAGCTACTCCGACTGCGGAAACTCGAGGTTTAAAGGCCGAAGTGAATGCTTCGTTCGCATCGTTTTGGCCGAAGCAGCGAAGCACTTGGAGAGCCAAGGGGTTCCAAGCATCTATGGCATGGTTCTATGCAGTTATAATTTCTGCCCGAGCTTTTTAGAACTATGTGTTGGCTGAATGAGTTCAGGCTCGCACACTGGAGAATTTCTTTTGGTCCAAGTGACCCGCAGAATGGCAGTAAATGTCAGGTTGAACACAAGTAACAGCGTGGCAAACCTTCCGTTGGTATTGGGATGAGCCCCGAGCACTCAGCAAAGTAAACTCTGCAGAATGCTGCCCCAATCTTCCTCCTTTGCGGTCTCCCAAATACATGCCTTAACTAGCAAGGGTGGTTGGGGCTCCCTGTTTCAGGAAGAACTGGCTACGCCCCGGCTCCGCCTCGAAACAACGTTTCTCTGCCGCCGACGACGGACGATCGAACAAGGCCATCGCTTGTTTCACCGACGAAGGATCTCCACGTCCACAGATGTTGTCGACGATGGATCTCGATGAGGCGATTCAACTCGCGGAGAGGAATGTCCTCGGAGCACGTCGAAGTCTTCCTGGTCTTCGAATGTCTTTGATTCCCAGGGTATATGATATATCACTTGTGATAGATCTATATGCGATACCTCCTCACCATATGGCTTCGGTTCGTTGGTGCCACCCCTCCCCCGCCTGCTCCAGCGCAGCGAAGTTGGGCCGATCGGTGGAGAAACACTTCACGGAGAGGAAGCCATAGTCCTCCTGGTTCTCCTGGAAGTCCTGCCGTGGTTTCGAAGAAGAAGGGCACCCCGAACAAGTCCGACCGAACGAGTCCGACCGAACGAAGTCACTGGGCACCCCACCAGGACCCCCGACCAGTCGTGACGTTTGTTTTGGGGGAGATGTTCATCCTCCACCATCCCTGCACAGAATTTCGATGGATGCATCCCTCCCAAATTGTGAGACAAGAAGAAACATCCCACATCCCTGCAGATTTGTGGAGGCCAATCTTCTCCTGAACCAAAGCTTGAAGCTCTTCCATGCGTGGTCGCCGCAGCTCGCAAATCAAGCCACTGAGCGGAGGAAGCAGCTCGCGACTGTTGCAGAAAACGAACTCAGGATCCCCAACTGTTTAACCTAACTGATATTATTGAATCTATATCCAAAATGAACAGTTGGCTAATTATATTGGATACTAATTATTGGACTCCAAACTGTTTAACCTCTAAAGCGGGCAATGAATTCGTGGATATAACCTTTCTGGGCCCTAGTAGATGTGTGGGCGCAGGTGTGGGATCAGTACCCCAAACGAATAGTCAACGAAGAAAGATGCCGTCAACGACTAGAAAAGACCAAACAGAGAAGGGCTTCCTCCACTTCAGGAAGGCTATTGAAGTATTACATGGATGACTGTTTTCCTCTACAAATATACGTCATGTTGATTTCAAGGGGTGTATCATACCTTGGGCTTCTCACAGGTGTGCTTGTTGAACCCGGAACTTCCAAATGACTTCTTGGACAACCCCAAGAGAAGAAGCCCGTCTACGCTGGCAGCCTCTTCTAAACCCTAAGCGATGCACAACTCAACACTAAAACAAAAAGCAACAATCACCTAAAAATCCTTAAAGGTTTGTACCCCCAAAGCCAGCTTCAAGAGACTCAGTCAGCGAGCCAAATGCCTCAGCCACCGCTCCCTTTCTTCATCTTCCATGAAGCTTGGCCGATCAATACGGCCATCCCATTTCATTCCATGTCAATTTGTGGGTTCGTTTTTGCATGTGCAGGAAGATGGGGGAACAGTTCGCATATAGAACCATCTATTTGCAGTACTATTTATAAGGATAAAGCATGTTATAGCAATTTTTTTGGGGGGGGCATCACTCACATCCACATCACAAATCCAACCCGGTTGGTGTCAACTCGTTTGAACACGTATTAGGGATTCCAATCATCCCAAGTCTGCAGGCGTGAACATAACAAAATACCACCCCGGCCTGCAGCCTGCAGACGGAAAGCATGAAAAATGGACCCCTAAGGCAGACTGTTCTCATCTACCACCCATGTGGTGCTTATCGAAGTGTATCTGAAGCCACTATACTGCTCCGAGCACCTGTTCATCTTGCATCTGGGGCACTTCAAATCTGCAATGAGCGAATAACGGCTATCCCAAGCCTCAGGTCCGCTGCCAGTCCTATACGATGTGACGGGCCTGACGGGCGTCGGACGGGGCGCCCAAAGCTTTCCCAGCCAACTCCTTCCATGGCGAAAAGGACCCTCCATTCTGCAGCGAGTTTCTCCTTCCTTCATCTTCCGTCTCCTTCTGCCTCCAACCCTCCATGCCTCCACCCCACGCCACTTCCGAATGTCTCGCGTTTTCCTCGTTTTCCGAAAGACTCGTTGTACCCACGCCGCGTAGGGCCGGGGGGGGAGAGGGCGTGTTGGCTCCCGTTCGCTCGAGCAGCACAGCCGATGACCTCGGTGGTGATGCCGATGCGGTGCCCCAGGACCTCGGTCGACCCGGTAGGACGGCGACCGGGCGGTGAACGAAAGGACTGGAGATCGGAATCGCGGTGGATCTGAACTGATGAGAATCCCTTTGGATCTGTTGTGGGGAACTGAGGGGGGCTGGTGCATTTGTTCTGGTTCTACTTGCCAAGGTGAGAAAGCTCAAGCAGTTCTTCCCATAGTCCTCCTAGTCAAGGTGTGGTTTCTAGAGCCGGAGGTGGAGATCAATCTCTGCCCAACATAATCGTACCCTTCCATTGCCTCTTCAACAGATTAAGTGGGTGGTGTTGTTTTCTTTTCTGTTTTGGAGAGGCACTTACTCAGTTTCGAAGCATAACCTTATAGTTTGGGTCTATCCGAGTCTACCAGGGCCCAGTGGATGATGATGGGGCCTGGTTGCAGGCCTTGTTCAAAAATAGTGATGTTCAACAATAATTAGTGATGTTCTTGTTTACTGACTCTTACAGGTAATGGGATGTCGACCCCAAGAATGCTGTATGAGATGTTTGATGATCATCATGTGATCGGCAGCAACCGTTCAGGCCGTTTTTCGCAGTGGAGGAGTTGGGGGTGTACTTTCTGCGACCCCCCCGAGCTTGAGAGCGACTGCCCATCAGCAAAAAATTGCTCATCCTCCAAGCCCTCGGCTGCCTCATGCTGCCTCGGCCTCTTTTAGCAGAAATGAGGTATGTTTTTTTTACAAGGTTTTTACATCAACTGCACCGGCTTTCTGTTGTTCCACATGTTCATGCTGATGCACTGATGCTGATCCTCTCCTCTACGTTCGGGACCCTCCGCGATCCGTTCACCCTCTCCAACTCCCTTGCCCTGCGGCCTCGGAACCGGAACCCTCTCTCTCTCTCCGAGGGGCGTCATCCAGGTGGGCGGCGCCCTCCCGGGCACAGAGGAAGACCCGTGCGGGAAGTATGTCCAAGACCTGCACAGACGGCGACTCCACCGAGGGAGTCCGCGGGCGACTGGACCGAGGGCGACTGCGAGGGCGACTGCGTCCTGCGATGCCAACTGATCTGTGATGCGAGTCTGTGGCGAAAAAACGCGCGCGTAGTGAGTGCGTGTGCGTGTGGAGCAAAACCACATGCGTCCTGCTTTCTTGGCGGGTGCAGACTCGGGTCTCGGGTTGCTGTTGTGAAGGTCACACTGGAGGCATGTGCCAACACGCCAGTTGATGGCTCTGTGCAGGCAGCAGGGAGAAAGCAAAAGGACATGCCTTCACTGAGACACATGCCGCATTGACGCATCGAGGCTCTTTGAGGATGTCAATGATTGTCTCGCGTCTTTTTGACGCTCGCGTCTCCAGAGATTGTCCTTAATGACCTCAAGACCGAGCAAAACGGTGACTCCACCCTCCAGTCTGCTCAGCTGCCAAAACCTGTCCAGAACGTGCTGGCGCCATATGTGGCCAGTGATGGACATAGAGATCCCGCCAAGAAAGAGACTGAACCCTAGGGCTCCAGTCGTACCTTCTGAGAAGGTAGGACCGTGGTGGGTTATTCCAGTCAAACCTTCGGAGGAGGTACGACTGGAGCCCTAGGGGGGTTAATTGAATTTCGAACTACCCGAGCCGCCAGAGGTGAATCAGTTCCCTTGGGAACTGTTGCAAGCTGTGGATTCGTCCGCGGGGGGGTTCCCCCAGGGTCGGCGGATTGTTCTGCAGCGTTCAGGGGGGATTGTTGAGGCCATCCTGGCCATTCTGGCCATCCTTGTTTGGAATGGCCTGTTGGCCGTCGCTATGGCTCGCAAAATCTTCCTTGCTCCAGCAATCCCTCCAAACTAAATGAGATGGACGACACACTTCGCGCTCAACTGCTCAACACATTTCGCTTTCCAGGAACTCACATGTTGTTTTGACTCGTCCAAGCAAAAGTATTCAACAATGATGGTTACCCATTCCTCCAACAAAAACATGGAAGTGGACAATGGCCCCCCATCCACGTGACCATGATGCTTTCAGGGGAGAAGGGCCCTCTCCCCAGCAAATATTGTAGAAACTACTCCCTGCAAGTCCAGTCTGACCCAGTAAAACCTGGTCTTTGACCTCCTTAAGTAGTGGCTTTGAATGACCATCTCCAGTAAAATCAACCGGCCCTCTGACCGTCCGTAGGAAGCACAGTTCACCGCGTAACACACGAAACCACGCACAGACGACGTCCACTGCGCACCCGGTAGGAGCATTGGAAGCGATAGGCCCATAGCCTGGAAACACAAAGCTGCAAAGCTGCCTGTTGGTTCTACAAACCTGATATATCCTGATCCAATTTCAGTTCTACATGTTGCTGAGTGAAGATTGGAATTGGAATGATTTAGCACCAGCTAAATCAGTCGACAAACACCCTCCAAGCACATGTTTTCGGAGTGCATGCTTACAAACCCGAACAGGCAAGCAACGCGTGTTCCCTTTTAATCCTTGTTTACGATGTCTGTGTACAACATGCATCTGCATGAGTGTTTTTTGTGCATGGACATGCTGATGATGATTTTATTTGGCTACCACATGCTAGAAAACCCCGTGCATGAGCACACCCCGTGGGAACCACCGGTGAAGGTCGAAGGACTGGGGACCTATATATATATATAGGACGGAGGACATCGTTTGCGAAAAGCGATAGGGAGAAGACTCGGAAAAATTATGTCATGCATTGCATCTGAAATCTGAGAAAACCTCTTGACTATAGAGAAATATGACAGCAGGTTTCTCTCTTGACTACTTCCAAAGGAGGATGCAAGGACACAGTGAGGATATGGGCTGGAAAAAGAAAACACCATAGTCACTAGTCTAGTCAAGCAGTGCAACATGATTCCTTTGGGGTCTCTGAAGTCCGACCCTCGTCTCTCGTCAGCTCGGATTCGTCTTCTACCCCTTTCGTCCCATCTCTTGAGCCCGAGTAGCAGGAACAAGTCTCCCAAGATAAAGTCGATCACCAGAACGAAAATGCTCAGATAGGAAAAGATCTCAGTCGAAGGCCGATCGAGAAAACCACCCACCACGCAGCCGAGCTCGCGGATTATGTCTGCCTTGGGTGACATCGTGACAGGTGCGAGTTGGTGCCCCAAACCAAGGCCTAGGGCCTATGTCGGTAAGGCTCATGATATATGATCAGCCCAACAATCAACCCCTACACCTGGGCCCACATCCTCAGGTGGTTGGGGTGGGTGCGGCACTGCTAGGGGCATCTCTACCTTCGGATGTGCCCTACAGAACCACTGCGGTCACCCCCACCGAACACTGAGCTCGGCGCCAACACGGAGATGTACTGCGAGAGCTGGTTCGATTGCAGTGCAATGCCCACGGATACAGCAACACGCACGGGCAGCAAAGACACACGGATGTAGTCGTAGCGCTCCTTAGTCGGGACACGGTGACGTGGGTCGCACCAGGAGATAGAGCAGTTCACCGTGGACGGGTTCCAGGTGGGTCACGACCACACTATTCCAAAGGAATCAATGACGGTCCCGTTGATGTTTCATGATCGGTCTTGGACTTATTTCGAGGGTGATGTTTGGTGATGTGGATTATCCATTTATAATACCGTTAGGTTTGAACATACTCTGCAACACTGAAAACTGATAACGACAACAACAACAACAACAACACCAGCAACAGCAACAGCAACAACAACAACAACAACTCCAACTCTGCAACTTACAAGAAACACTGATAAACTGATATGGAAAGTTAGTCATGTGTCGGGAGCCATGTTTCAAAGCCCCTTCTCGATCCTTTTCCATCCTTTCTCCGCTTTGTTCCTTCTCATCAAGAGCTTGGCAGGAGTCAGAGAAAAAGAACAACTACATATGAAATCTCCCGATGCAACAAACCACCCTGAAATCCAAGTGGCAGGAGTGTTAAAGCTATAGGTGATGATGCACATGAAGAAGGTGGTGACCAACCTGAAGCGACTCTAACGACTTGTCAGCCACAATTCAGCATCATCCCGGAGGGCTTTTGGGCATGATTTGGATGGATCTGTGGAGTCAAAGCCCGACAGAATATCTAGGGGGACATCCATCCGAAACCCGAAGCCTCTGAAGCCTCTGAAGCCTCTGACCAACTCTGTCCAGAAGCTCTTTCACAAGCGCTGCAGAAAAACAGAAGCCAGCAGTCATGCCAGCAGTCACGTTCGACGGGTTGACCCATCCAGGGGCCGTGGATGTGACGACGGGGCACCCCGGCCCAGCGGTCTGGACATGGTCACACACACCCGGTCCAGGTGTCTGTCGTCCAAGACCACCCTGAAAAGAGCTGTATAGCCCTCAAAGACCATCTAAAATATCGAAAACACAAAACATATACTGGTTTAACATACTAACCATATATCGCATATATATATATATATGTTTATCCAAGTTGACTTCTTGTTGTTATTGTTGACTGCAATAATTAATACATCAAAAATACAAAACGATCCTTGGATAACTCATGTGCAGCTCATAAACAAAATCCAACCCCTCCGCGGGTTTTCCGTCGCAACGTAACAGACGTCAGCTCAGTGACATCATCACCACCAAAGCACTATCACCGGTGCACGCCAGGAAGCCTAAGCCGGGCAGAACCCCAAGCGCAAGCGCACTGACTGACCGGGCGGCCCAGGCAGGCTTGGTCAAATGATGTCAAATGCAACATCCAGGAGTCACGAGTGAAGAGACCGGAAAACATCAATTTGTTGCTAACAATCGATGGGAGCGAATGAGCTGAGCGCTCATTCAAGCCAGCACAATCTGCTGCAACACACATGCTGGTGGCTCTGGAAACTCAAACATGTTGGTGTCTCCATGACAAAAATGTGGACAGTATCGAATCGACTCAGCAGAAGACCTCAGTCCAGTACTGTGTGATGTTCATGGGCAAAGTTAATGCTGATCAAACTCATTTACAAATGGTACAATTCGGTACAATCCATCAACATGGAACGTCAAACAGGGAATTGGTCTTCCGGAATTTGATGTTCAGCTTCCACGGAAAGACTATCTATACGCAACAATCTTTTTCGACTCGCACTCTCTTGATGCTCGAGCAGGATTTGGATATAGTTGAATCGAATCGAATTATATATTCACCTTTCCTGCTGCAACTTCTCAGCAGGCACCCAGCTTAGTCAGCTTCCACAGCCTATACAAGGGAAACCTTGGGCATGAAGGTGATAAAGAGATGCAGGCGTCTGACTTTACAAGAGGACGCAAACTGGAAGACAAGCTGTGAACGCTCACTTTTTGATGCGAGCACATTCCACATTCACCACAGCGGTGTTCGACAAATGTGTCCCCACCTTGGTAAAAGCGCTGCAATCGTCATTGAAGACATAGTCTGTGAAGGCATCGTGGAAGCGAGCGTTGGGATCTTGCCCTACAGTCTCGACAATGGCACAGCGGTAGGTGAGGTGTGGTGAGGGCACTTTTGCGCAATGTTGAATTTCATGGTTGTCAACCCCATAGTGAAGGCCAACCCGCATGAACTTTGCGTAGTTGTTCTTGATCAACGTCACCTCGTCCTTCTCATTGGGATAGAAGGTGATCTCGCCCATTTCATCAAAGACCGTGGTATTGCAGCTAAAGTGCCCTGTCACATCACAATCTTCGGCCCTCTTCTGCAGAAAATGATCTCCGGCCCAGGCAAGGGGAAGGCACATCGTCACGATTGTGATGAACATCACGTTCACCGCCTTTCTCCAGCTAAACTTGCTGCGCTTTTCGAGTCGAACCAAATGGCTGTGGCCAAAGTCTCGTCATGAAGAAACTACATCCATTGGCATGATACTTCGAGATGACATTGGGCAAGTGTACCTCTTAGTATCCTTAGAGGATACATCTGTCATGATTAGATTTCATGATTATACACACATATAAATTGGTATAGTATTGTAAATGAGGTTTATCAGGGGTTTATCTTTGTACTTCATGTCTTTCACACACCATGGCCCACTACTCAACCGAGTCCAACCCCATCTAAATCCGCAAGTCTGTGTCTTTCGTTTTGGGGTGTCCCTAAGTCTTAGAGCCATGCACATGGCCATGGCAGGAGAAAAAACACATGACCACGGAGCCGCATCGACAACACCATGGCCGCGCCGGTGCGGATCGCCGCGGAATGCTTCGCCCACATGACTGACTCAATGACGATGTATGACAAATGACCACCGAGCGATGATCAAATTAGGGTCCTTTTAGGGCAAAACAAACATGTGGAGAAGCTCTTTTTGGTAAACACTTGGGTGGAGGCTACAGAGTGCAAGGAAAACAAAACACCGATCCATCTTCTTGTTCAGTCGACTGAACTCAATCCATCTCAAATCAACTCAATCCCTTTAGGTTGTGGGGCACTTTATGGTTGTTGCATGCACCCAAAAATGGGCCCGCAGTAATCTTGGCCGCGCTGATCTACAGTGGTTTCAGAGTAGATGGCACAATCCCCAATCCGCAAAAGGTGGTTCATATGAACCCCCATGCAAAAGACATGGAGCAAAATGTGGAAAAACACTCACCGCAAACAGGTGTCTGGACGAGACCAGCCAAGCGAAGAGCGGCGAGTGGCGCCCAGTGTTGACCTCAAACACAGTTGTCCAGCCCGGACGAGCGACCGGAGAAAGGGTGGAGAGTGACTGGTGACCGGCGAAGAAACCAGTGCGAATCACTGGGTGGAGGGAGCCTCTGTGCGTGTGTCTATATTTTTTCCGGATTAGATTCGAGTCTTGAGGTCCTTGAGGTGAAATCTGGAAATCTGACTAAAAACATGTCGTCGAGTCTTCCCACTAGTCACTGAGAGGTCTCTTCTGGAGGTCTCTTTTCTTTTTTGCAAGTGACGCCTGTTGAACCTATATGACCCTATACCCTGAGAGCACTGGCATCTTGGGAAACCCACCTCTTTCTTCACACGGCGGCGCGTTTGTCCGCGGACACCAGCCGGTGGGTGTCAGGTCGTTGCCACGTCGTCCGGACCTGTCGTCGATGAGATCGAGCGTGTTGTTTTCTCCGAGGGACGTCCACATCAATGCACTCCAAGGACAAGATCCTTGGTCGCCGGGTGATGCGGATGTGTGGCGCTCATGTGGGAACAGCGCCACACACGCATGGAGTAGGCCATATGGACCAATATGGATCCATCTGGGCCATAGGTCCGCACCCCACAGGTTCTGCCTGGCTCAGGCACTCAAATCAACACACACGAACAACCAGGCAGGCTGCCAGGCTTGTGAACCTACCATGGGGGAATCCGGACATTCACCCACACCCCAAAATCCAGAAGTCTGACATATATATATATATATATATATTCTAGGATTCTAGGAATGATGTCGCTTCCAGTTGCCTCAGTCCATCCGATTCTCTCCAAGTCATTACTCTTCTCCCAGTGGTGTCGCTATAGTCTTTGTTTGAGCTGCGCTGTGACCTGTGCTTCGCTGGCCCCCCCCTGCTTCTCCGAAACCGCCTCGCTCCACAGTCTCCACACGCCGCTTCTTTTCCGCCATGTTCACCGGCCCCGGTCACCAACACACAGGTCACAGGATGGAGCTCAGATCACCGATTCAGCAGCAGCTACATCAGCAGCTACATCTTAGCACATGGCGCAGGTGTGTGAGAAGCTGCCCGACACAAGCCCCGCATCCTTCAAAGTACCTTGGAGATCGACCGGACCCCCAAGGGTCTACGCCCAACAAGGGTCAAGCCGAAGGGCCTATTGGCATGTGAACGACCCATGGTTTGGCCTAACCAAATCAAACCCATGAATTGGCCCAGTCCTTTGTGCATGTTTTGTAACATGCTTGCATGGAGGTCATAGTGATTCATCTCATTCTTCGATTCCTGCACCCTACCTTACGTCAACATAGTTGATTCTTCCGCCCTACCTCATGCATCCTCATGCTATTTCATCTATTTCCTACCCCCAAAACCGCTGTGTCGATCGCGAGCATCATCGCCCTCCGCGTGTCCGCGCTCGACACGAGGACGAGGACTCGAATCGCCGTCTTCATCGCGCTCGGTCTTCGCGGCGTCCAGGTGCTGCAGGACAAGGTCTGTGGCACCTGGACCTGTGTCAAGGCTCCACAGTTTTCGAAGGCACCGCGCTCCAGGTGTTTCACCTCGGTCGGTCCGGTGTTCGGTCCACGGTCCAAGGAACCAAAGTCGGCCAGCACCGGGAGTGTTTGACTTTTCTTGCTTGAGTCGACAAACACTGCGCACCTATATATATTCAAATATGAACAACTCAGGTGGTGTAAGACTTTCAGCATCTTTCAAGTTCTTCTGGGTTCTTCTTGTGTTTCTCCTTTCTTTTGAGCCCCATGGGCCCGTTTTTGACGTGTTTAATGCTTTTTCATCCCATCTGGGAACCTGTTTCGCCTGAAGCCTATGCAGAATGGCTTCCACACAAAACATCCACAAAACCCCCCCCAAAACAGCTGTTTTGGGCTCCAAATTCATGGAATGACATCTCAACTCTCAAGAGTTCCTGAAGCGCAGATCTTTTTGGAGCTTCTTGTTGAAGCGCGGTCGTTGGGATTTTGTGTATTATTTCTATTTTTTAAAGCACCCACATTGATAAGCAGTTCGTTTGATATGCCCTGATCATTGACCTTTTGGGGCGAGCAAACCAATCAAAAAGCTCACCAGAATCGACGTCCGACTGAAGAACCGACACTTCACCAAAGCACCGAGTCCGGCAAACTCACCTTCTCCAGTGCGCAGCCGGCGAAGGCTCCGGCACCCACAGAGACGATGGAGTTCGGCAGAGTCAACATCACCAAGGAGCGGCAATTCTCAAAGGCCTTATGGCCAATGGCCACCACCTTCGCGAGGCGGGTGCGCGTGCACGCGTGTTATGCGGAACTGTGAGGCGGAAGAGCTTGGAACAGCTCTGAAGCCGGTAGGTTTGGAGCAAGGAAACCTGGAAGGGCTTCCTTCCAAACCCGAGACCTTCACTCATAGGACCTGAGATGGACCAAGGCCCCCTTGTGCCACTTTGGATTGAGGTACAAGCCTAACAGGACCATCCAGTGGGTGTCCTGTCTGGAGATCCCAGAAGAATGGTGTAGGGTAGTCCAGCCAGGACACCCAAACAGGCTCCTGGTAGCATGTCACCCGTTGGGGCCCCATCTTATCCAATGCCTCACTCACGCGATCCCGCACCATCCTTATCCCGGACTCACGGCATTGGCCGTTTTTTGGTCGGACGAAAAAAAACACATCGAACGCTTAGTAGGGCCGAGTCGCTGAGTCCGGGATGTTGATGGTGGCCTCGCAACTGGGGCGTTGGCTCAGAAAAAGGGTGAGAGCACCATGGCCTTTTCAAGCAGCCGAGCAATTCTATATTAAATACATTAAGTCATGACCACAAGAAGCAACTCTTAGATTCCAAGTGGCCAACGAATGGCAGTCCTTGAAGGTGCTGAAATTGATGGAAGTCAGAGAGTTTGGAAGTGTCACGCTGACCAGTCCACTGCAGTTCTGAAACGCACCAGCACCCATGAAGGTCACCGACTCCGGGATCGTCATCTGGCCAAAACGGCTTGGATCACTTGGGAATGGACGTCTGTGCCTCTGTCGGCTGGGAGTCAACAGTGATCTGACACCGGGGAAGAAAACCGTCCAAGCAGCGGATCTGATTCCAGTGATCTCACGTGTGATCGAGGTCGCGCGCCTGGTCTAAGCAGCTGCAGCTCTGAAAGGCGCAAATCCCAATGCTGGAGACCAGGCTCGGAAGCCTGGACCCGTTCGTACGAACGTGTTCGGCGAACGTGAAGGTGGAGCGAAACGGTGGTTCATCCCTTTTTGGCTGAAAAGCACTGCAATTCCACTGATCATTCACCAGATGTGGTAGATGTAAGAGATTCAACTTTATATAGATTCCAAGATCCTAAAGGTCCTAAATAGATCTCTGAGCAAAATCTTCTGGCCATATCTTCATGGATGAACTCACACATGTACCTTGGCCAAGGGTGAGCAGCTATGTTGTGACTCTTTCTTACTTTTGGTGGCGGTTGAGGCTCCGGAAAGGAGCCTCCTGATCAAGACAGCCGATACCCAGCCGACCTCAAGCGATCAGTTTTTCCGGCTCCTGGTTCTCTATGTTGAATCTCTCTCCCAAAATTCATTTTCTGGAATATGTGCCAACATCGACTAGAGACCCTTTTGCAAACATCTTCAACACCACCCCAATTGTCTCAAATGTTCCAGTCCCGATGATCTGCGGACTTCCGACGTTTCAAGGCAGACGACATCGCTGCGAACCCAGGCGCGTCACACTGCGCAAAGCACTGCAGCCACGGAAAACGGCCTTCTCAATGGTGGTGATGCTGTCGGGGATCAGCACCGAGGTCAAGGAGCGGCAGTTCGCAAAGACACCCCTGGAGACTCTCCCAGTTCAGTGCCGCAGTTTACGTCACTTCATCCTCTCTTGGTGGGGTGCTTGGACCAAAACGTGAGCATCGAATTCTACCTACCCTAAGAATCTGGGCCCAAAGCCATGGGAATGGTTTTGAGGGCGGAGACCCCCAACGAGCCTTGCCATGGAGGGCCTAATGATCAAAAATGGCGGCTGAAGTAACATAATCCTATATGTATAATTACCTGGATCCCCAGTCGGGGTGGTTGATGGACACCCCGAAAGACCTCTAAGGACTATTAATGGATACTCTTTCCGTGGTGCTGGTAGAACCTTTCTAGATTTTGGTGGGTAAACCATATTCCTCAGTGACACGAGACATATACAAACCATGGACTCGACCAGCATTCAGCACTCCTGCATAGAGAAAAGGTGCTCTAAACCTGGCGCCAAAAAAACTCCTCCCCAAATGGCTTCGACTAACTGGCGTTTCCATCCACGCGACTCCCTCAGACGCGTCAGCGACTCGGGAAGAGTCACGCTGACTAAAGATCTGCAGTTCCGAAAGGCGTCCGTGCCCAGGTAGCTCACCGACATGGGCAGGGCCATCTTCGCCAAAGAGAGGCAGTCTTGGAAGGCCGAATCACCCACAAAGGTGAGTGCTTGCGGAAGCCTCACACTCACCTGGGCAGGGAAAACATCGATCACCTCTGACCCAAAGGAGTCGTTGAGATCTCTGAGGTCACCAAAAGTCCCGGATCACAGGTCACATACCTATAGCCTATAGAGATAAACAAAAAGGTCACGAACCGAAGGCACCTAATCTTTTTTGGGGAGGGCTCTGACCTGAAAAAGCATTTGTTGGGACTGGGTCAGGTACATATACATAGAACACCAATGCCAATAATCACCACAACCACTTTGACTATTGGGGGGGAAAGCATTGGCAGGTTTTGGCTGATTTGTCCGGTCCTGCATGTTCAAAGATGTCACTGAAGCAATTCCAAGCGACTAAGGCGCTACAACCTTGAAAAGCGCACAGTCCTACTGCCAAGACACCCTCCGGGACCACCACCACACGCAAGTCTTCCTTCTCACAGCCGGATTCTTCTTGGCTCGCACACTCCACGGTTTGCAAGCCTGGCGCAGGTGTTCGGCGTCGAACCTTCCGGGGACGTGCTGAAGTCCACACACAACGACCACAACACGGAATGGGCAAATATGCGCTAACCGCATGTGCGCGCGCTAACCACAACGCTGGGCCCGGTTTACGGCCCTTGTTCCGAGGTGGAGAAAGGTGGCCAGGTTTCCCTGGCCTTGCTCTTAGGGATGGTGGAGTCTCCCCCTTTTATTTCCGGCAGGTCGAGCGCTGCATCCAAGAGGCTATAAAGCACTTGCAAATCCTGCTCTTCAGATAATCCTAGCTCAGCCACAGTGGCCTTGTTGTCTTGTAGCACCTCACCCTGCAGCAGCAACTCCACTGTGGTGAGACTCACTGTGACCTCATCTGTGGCAAACTGCGCCTCCCGTAACTGCACCTCCCGCAAACGATCTTTCAAGTCTCGCAGCGTCGAGTCTGAGGACACCTCCAGAAGTAGCACTTCACCATCCAAACGTCGAATGGAAAGCCTTACGGTCTCCACGCGGGGCGCGCACACGCCCACTTCAGCAAGCATCGATGATGAGGGCGGCATCTTTGACGTAAACATCATGAAACAAGTCGTTTTGGTAGACTCGGACTCCAACGTCAGCTGACCTCCGGGTTTGTGGGTTTGTTTCAGTGTTTGGTGATTTTCGTGGTGCGGAACCCTTTCAAACTCCGTCCCCGGTGTAAATATCGTACGTTGAAGGTCCTTGAATATTGGTGAACCACACTCATGTATTGAATCAGTTCATGTGCTCAGTGTCTGTCAGTGCTGGATTCATCAGCTGTGAGCTCTCTGCTGTCCTTCCGAGAAAGCTGCGCTCTCTGCTTCTCTGATCGACGCTCACCCCCTGGAGGCTCGTGGCGACCGCCACGCACCGAAACAGCGATACAACACGCCGGCCGCCGGCCTCTGTCGTGGAAGTTGAAGCAACCAAGGGGCTGAAGGGAACATGAAACGGTTCTGAAGTCTTAAAATAATCAAATGCATGCTAAAACCCCTATGAACTCTGTTATATAATCCATTTTGGGGCACAAGGCGTGAAGATTGTGAGGAATGATGGGCATGGCCAAGTAGATTTGTCCGTTTGCTGGACTGTAAAGTCCCGGTTGCAAAACCCTTGAAAAATGTCTTGCTGGAACGGTAAGGTTCGTCATGCATCTTCTGTACCCTGCTGGTCAACACGGCACCTCGAACATACTACGTTCATCTTCGAATGGCAGTAATCGCAATCACCGGACGGGGGCTGTGTTGGGCAGCAGAATCACTCACAAACTTCCAATGACTCATCTTACCCCACCTGGTGGCCTCACCACAGGGTTGCATGGCACGACCCTCCAACTGGAATGATCCAAAAGGCCAACTGAAAAACAAAGTAAAAATACACCAAGCTGTGAAAACACCAACTGAAGAATTTGGACCTTTCCCCACCACATCTACCCATGCAGAATTTGTCCTCCGGACCCAAAATAGGAACAATCAGGCAGATAACAACCAAAAACCCAAGAACTCCCACCCACCAGCACTCTCTGTATCTCTCCATCGGTCGCCGCTCCAGCACCCCTTTTCGGCGGAACCGCTGCAGCTCCAGCACCACCGGATCCGTCTCCGGCCACGGCGTCGCGGCGTCGGCGGCCCAGCGCGCGGCGACGCGCCGCAGCTGTGGATCCACGTGCTGCGCCGCGCGGCGCAGAGCGAAGGCGGGCGGCTGGAGGCCGTGCTCTTGGAAACCTGGGGATGAACGTAACAAAGGGCATCGCTACGAACGGAGCAAGAAGCTACTGCTCCTGGCATTACTAGTAACAAGATGCTACTAGTAGCTATAGAAGGTATACTAGGTGGAGGCCAACGCTATATATAAGGTTGGTGGTCAGCGGTCATTTCTGTTAGTAAGAAGAAGATAATGATACTATAAGGCATTTCCATCAATTTCATTCAATTTCCCTAAATGGCTTAAGATTGCTTAAGTGTCTCATATCTAGAAATGTGCAACTGCAAGAAGATCGGACAAATCATCGAATCATCACATTGAAAAAAACATGGCCTCACATGGATGATCCCATGATGGCCGCTTTCTGATTCAAACTTCCGGAATCACATCTGGCTCATGTCTGCTGGTATCGGCTGGTGCCTTGCTAAGCAGGTCTAAGCAGCACTCCAAACTGAAGTGGATCACACTTGGTGCTGGGTCTTCCAGAGTCTTCGCCAGCAAAGGCAGCAGCTCCTCCTGCGGAAGTCGCTCCGCCAGGACTCTCAAAGTGCCCAGCCGCACAAAGGGCTCCTCGATCGCCGGTGAGCCACGACAGGACCAGGACGTCGCGGACACATCGGCTCACCGGATAGAAGTGGGATGATGTTGGAGATGAAAATGGATGCGGATCAGTGAGTGGACCTGCACGAGTCTGAGTGGACCTGCGACTTTTGGGGAGGATGTGTTGGAGGCGCTTGGGATCTGCTTGCTTCACAGCCAGTGTCGCATCCCACAACTTAGCAAGCGACTCAGGATGTAGCCAAATTAGTCCAAATTCACCCTGCATATCCCTGCATTCATTCAGGGCTGGATGAAACGGGTTTTGATCTCTTCCTTGGACATGTACCGCCACACCAACAAACTGTTGATGGCCAAAAGTATGCCCAAATGACTGACTTGGAAGAAACTGCGGCCTCATGTACTCTTTTCAAGGCCATTCGTCCGCTCCATCTGGCTATGCCTTCTGTCTTCACCCGGTCTGAGGAGTCCTATACGGCTCCGCCGTCTCCGATCTCTCCGGCCGGGCTCCAGTCGTACGACCTCCGAAAGGGTTCGGTATGACTGGAGCCTCCTGGCACCCCACCCCATGCCAGTCCCACCTTCAAAACGAAGGTACGACTGGAGCCCTATAGGGCATCATGGTTCATCAGAAAAAAGACACATCAACCAGGAGTCACATGGAGTTGGGTGGTGTGGCCCGTCCCATCCAGTGAGTGGATGTGACAGGGGCACCCCAACGGCACCCTCCATGGAGTCCGCACCCCGTCGAACGTGACTGCAGGAATAAATAAGTGGAATGGAGAGTCGATGACACTCAAATGACCAGTTGTTTGGTGGTTTATTAGTGGACCCCCCATCTACTCCGAAACAACAGTAACAACATTGGATCGGTTTGTTCACACATTGTCGTGCAAATCGGGTTTTAGCTCCAGTCGAGTGCATGCATTAAGACAGCAAAAATACACCTCTCGGCCAAAGACTGACAACTGTGAAACATATTGAAACATACATTCCATCTCAATGACCAAGATCTCAAGGTAGGCCTGTCATTGGTCTCCCGATGCTTGTTCCAACATGTGCTCACTTCAAACAAACCAATCACCAAAAGCTCCTCATCCTCCAAGCAAATCGGACCCAAGACCTCCAGGCGATGGGCACTTGCACCTCTTAAGACCTCCACGGTCGCCGCGCGCACCAGGGGCGACGGGTGTCCCAGCAAGCGCACCAACCGGTCCTGCCAGCGCGCATCGGAACCCATCACAAGTCCGAAAGCCAAACTCAAAATTTGACTCGTGGAACATGTCCTTGACATTTGGCACACATGGCATGTCAAAGAAATAACACGTTAAAGCATCAAACACGTTGTTTCGCGTTTTTGACCACACTTGAACAACGTGTCGACTTCCCTCACCTCTGAATTCCTCGGATGTGCACGCCGCCGTTCCATCCCGGGGGGGGAACAAGCTCACCAACTCCCGAGTTCGTCGCGACGCTCCGGGCCTCGAGGTCGGGATCGGGCATTTCACTCTCCAAGAGCTGCAGGGCGATGCAACCTGCGTCGCGACTCGCTCCGCGGAGCGGAACTCGCTGCAGAAAGGGTGTTCTGCGAGGAGTCGTGAGGTGGAGCTGTGTGTGTCTTGGAGTCATGAGGGCCATGGGACAAAATATCATGATGATGTTTCGAAAATGGGTTTCTGTTAACTGGCCCCACGTGTCTCTGTCGTCGCCCGCGTGACTCTATATAGAGCTTTCCAGTTGAAGCAGTGTCTCAAAGCATCACCTGAGATAGGTATGAACGGAGCCTTCAACAGGATCCCAAGCACCCAAAAAGCAAAGTGTACGTAGTCAAACGACCCCTGACCCTAGGGAGAACCTCTAATGAGGCTAGCTATATAGCTATAGACATAACAGATTAAAACAGTAGGTCATTCATCCACGACTGTTCGAAGTCTTTGTCGCTTTTCAGTCACGCCACAGGCGTCGCTGTTGAAGTCGTCATCCAAGACGTCCAGGAGGATCCTCGTAGAATCTTACAAGGATGAACCGTGCACCCAAACATGGATTGTGTAACCTGTCTTCATGCGTGGGGGGTGATTAAGTAGTAAAGATTGTTACAAGAGTATTTTATGGAGACATCCCCTCAGAGTCTTCCTCCAATGAAACCTCCCGAAGAGTGGGCTTTCTCCATCAAGGTCAGATTGGAGCTCTCCCGATCTATTCTGCCAATCCCCCATGAGCTCGACGGCCTATCACTGGTGTTGAGAAACAGGAGCGATACCCGGCCAATGGACCCCCTCATGAGGCCAATAGTTTTGGGCCAAAGCTCTTATATATCATATCCATGGATCCACCTTCTCAGGTTAGGTGATTGAAGACACTGTTATGTAGCTGCCAGGAGGGTCCAGTCGTACCGAACCTGAGAAGGTGGCAATGGACAGGTTCTGACCAACAGGGCCTGCATGAGGCGAGGCACAAAACCACCAATATCCCAATGATGACATTCGATATGGGATCGACGAGGTAACAACGTCCACTATAGAGATCGGCCATTACCAGTGTGTGTATATTGTTCAAAACATAATAAATATATATATATTTACACTTACACTAAATGTCAATTGATTTCAAAGGTCTATACCAGCCCCTCAGCCCATCCTTCGATCCCCTTGCCAAACCTGTTGCAGTCTAGTCGAAGATCTTCGAACATGTTTTTTCGCTAAAAGGTCGAGTCGGAGTGAGTCCCACCTGGGCTGTCGGAGCGTGAATCTGCCAAGGGTCCGCTTCACCTCCTTCATGGCCTCGCCGGCCTTGGGGATCTCGCTGAAGAGCTTTTGCGATTCCTCTCCTCAGGTGGTGCGAAAGTCCAGTTTTGGGGTTGGTGAAGAAAGTGATGTTCAATCAAGAAAGAAGCCATACTATACCTGATCCAACAAACCCTCTCATTCGGGGCGAGGTTCTAACCTTGGCATGTCCGCTGGTGAAGCCCAAAGCGATGCGCTCCAAATCCTCCACTCGGCTGCCTCCCAATATGGCCACCAGGCGCCACAGCAGGCGGCGAAAAAGGGCCTCGCCGAAGCGCAGGTGGTGAGTGTGACAAAAAAAGGACGAGTTCTCACAGTTTGGGAATTTGGGAGGGCTTTTGACAAGCAAACATTGCTAATTACTATACACTATACCAAGGCCTCTAAGGGTCTATCACTATATAGACACCCATTAGGAGGCCCTGAGGGACCAATGAGTAGCTTTTTCGCGGCAGAAGCATGCCAAACGGGTGGGTCTCTTTCAGGAGCTTCAAGGCCAATTCCAAGGCCTTCAGCTACTTCAAAGCTACGGCCATGAAGGATAAAGGAATTGGTATGCCTGACTTGGCTACCGGCTTCCTTTCGATCACAAGGAGCCCTCGTATTTGAAAGATCTCTTACATCCTTCCTTGTTTGCTTGCTTGCTGGCCAGCAAATCACAGCGGTTCGTAAAATGTTCTTGTGCCGCCAATCATCAAATCCATCAAGTGCAGAACTCCAACGGCAAAAGCATTCCTCCTGGACACCGATCACTCCTCGCCCTCCAGTGAAGCGGCCGGGCCTGTAAATCGATGCTGCTGTAGGTCCAATGGCACTTCAAAGTGCAGCGTCCTGGGAACGGGTGGCCATGGCCCAAGTGGAGGTTTGACCGTTTTGCTATGCACCTTTTGGTCCACGTGTTTCTGGGCGCCAAACAATCATATCACTTCGCCCAGTGGATGATGATGGCTAGTCAAGGCCTTTCTCTCAAACAGTGATGTGATAATTGATTACCGACTCTTACATGCAGTTCCGCAACATCTCACACACATGGCCTACCAAGACCTACCAAAATGACATTTAAAACTTGCATGGACCCCACTGAGACACATTCCACCTCGATTCAACCTGCAAAGCCACAAATTGCACGGCTGTCCGCCTTTTGAGGCTCCACTTGGTTCCAAAAGGTGATATGGGACCTCATGTGATCCGGTTGGTCCCAAAAGCATCGACCTGGCAACACGTCCAACCTGGGGGACTCTGCCTGTTGACCTGTTGGCATACATGCACGGAATAGACTACACCTGGCACAACCTGGCAGATACCAGGGTCCAACCGGGCTCCGCTCTCTTGACTATGGAACCCATGCACCACATATTGATCATATATCGAGTAGATATGTCTACGCCTCCGAAGATCTACCGAGCTTCGTATCAAGGACTCCAGCAAGGGCTCCACGCTGCTCGCCACCGCCCCGCTGCACCCGAGCCGTTCCAACACGTCCACGGCCATGTCAAGAAGCTCAAGCCCCTTGCGATGCGTGCAAAGATCCTGAGCGCCCGGTGGTTCGGACCATGGAAGGCTTCGAGTCATTAGCTGGCTGCATTAACTATAGTCAAGTGTTTTCAGAACATGAGTTCTTGGAAAGGCAGCTGGGCCACCTATGGCGGCACGACGGTGGTGAACCCCTTCGGTCCAGCACCCCTCCAGGTACGACTCTGGAGCCCTGAGCGAGGGTATGTCCATAGCATGGACATGCGAAAGGAGCGGCAAAGAAACGTCTGAACGTCACAGAGCCGGAGTCAACCTAGAGAAAAGAATAGTTCCTTTCACCACTCTGACATACTTGGCGTCCCCCCCCAAAAAGAACAAGTTGGACGATGATGTCTTTCAATTAAATTACATGATCATTAATGATCTCTGGATTCCCGATTTCGCTTGATCCTCTTCCGCTTGCAAGGAACCACCGATGGCGACCGACCCCTCGGTGAAAGATCGTCCGAGGGTCGGCCTCTTGGAATAACCCACGCAGGGCTTCAAGGAGCTGTCCGATCTTCTGTTCATCGGTCGCCACCGCCTCGAGGACCTTCAGGATCTCCACCTGTGGAAGAGGCGATCGAAGCGAACCCGTGCACGCGCACGCGCGCGCGCACGCGAAGGCGCACGCACGGTCCGGCAAGGCGGTGCGAAAGGGTATAGACCATCAGTCGATGGAAAAGCTGAAGTATCTTGGGCCTGGGTCAGGGGAAAACTCATTTAAAAAAAGAACAAGTTTTTCTAAGAAGGTATATGTGTACATGTCATAATATATAATTCATGGGTATTATATTCTTGTTCACTCCAAGCTGCTGGGAAAACCCGGTTGAAGACCCACTTCGATCCGAAGCGGGCCCCACATCCTCTTTCCAGGGCCGAAACACCCATCGGTCGGTTCCGAAACACCCATCCGCCGAAACGTGGGGTGGGGGTGAACTCATATTATGCCATGTAAGTCATCATATGTACCTCTATGCGATAATTACCTGCCCACCTTGAGTCTCCAATGACCCTTTTAGATTTGCAAAAACGCAGAAAAAAAAAAGGTCTTTGGAGACTCAAGGCACAAGTATATGATATATGGATAGAGTGGGGTGGGGGTTTTCTTTGGGGGCTGATGCATAGGCGCAGTCCCATGGAGTGGCTTTCTCTCGTGACACAACGAAGAACAGCCCCCCACAGCCACATCTGAAAAAAGAGCTCCAACCAAAATCGGTGAAATCTTCAACCAAAATCACCCTACATCAAAGCTCCCAAAGTTTGCAACCATTTCCAGCAAAATTCCACTCACATTCTTCTCACTGCAGCCCAGCTTATCATTTAAAGGTGCCTTGTGGATCCCTGGCGCCACTCGAAGCTCCCGCAGGAGTGGCGTGATGAAGGGGTTTGGAGCAGCTGGCGCCAGCTGCCCATAGCTCTCGGCCAACACCTGAAGAACCAAAAAGCCACACCTCCAACTAGCCCCCACAGCCCAACAAGAATTGGGAGGCTAGGCAACTGTGGGCGTTTCCACGAAGTCAAGCTGCCCTCACAGAGTGTGGATGGGGCAGGAACCGGTTCGCGGCCTGGCCGTGGTGGTTTTCTCATTCCGTGCGTCGCGGCCTGGCCGTTGCCCTCCGCGACGACTGGGGTGCATGGAAGCAAAACAAAAAGGATCTCCGAAAGGTCGACCAAGGCTGTTGGCAAGAGCTTTCTCCCAGCCTTTGCAACTCAGCTGGCTCATGAGCTAAAGCGTTCAAGGATGTTTCAACCTCACAGCTTTTAAGCCGCTATGGCGTTTGCACCTCGCCTGTAGCTCTGGACTCCTCAGCTTCTTCAGCTGTATCAGCGCACCCACCGCCTCCACCAACGTTCCAGCATGAGTTGTCGCCACCGTGCACGCAGCACGGGCGGCCAAAGCGGCAGTGACCGGATCGGGAGCCGCAAGGCGAGGCCTGAGACTGGCCCATCCGTGTGGAGAGATTCCAGCTATAGGCTATAGACGAGACATGTGATGGCCAAGAAATGGATCTTCTCCAAGTGGCATATTGCACCGAGTTCATGAATAGAACTTGAAACCGGCGCCATCCCAAGGCGAATGATTCGGTTGCGTTCATTGCAAAAAGGGTGTGTGATTCTGGAAAAATGTGCATGCGGCCAACATTCTGTAAAAGACCTCCTACCAGTGGGTCAAAAAGTGTCAGTGTCTGCTGAATTCTTCTGACAGTTAGAAGCTGACAGAAACCGAACAAAAAGCTGCCCTAGTACAATTCCTATTAAGCCTATATTATATAGTATATAGCGTTAAATAAAATGACTTATAATGCACTCCAGTACTATATATAGCCTGAGTATATAACCGACAAGAAGAACCCAAACCCAGACCAGTACAGTCCACGACTATGGTTGACTCCTTAGATGTTACTCTCAAGCCGCAACCTGCACACTGGTCGACCCTCTCCGATCAGTAGGAGAGTGGGAGGAGGAGGAGGATATGAAAACAAGAGAAAAGTGGACATACCTGGACCCCCAGTCGGGGTGGTTGATGGACACCCCGAAAGACCTCTTTTCGGGGCTATAATTTAATGGACACCCTTTCCGTGGTGCTGGTACATGTTCAAACATGTTCCACGACCAACGCAGAATTGTTCCATTGTCCATTGAAGCCAGCTTAGCATTGGGGGCATGTCTCGGCAGTTTGGACATGTCTTTGAGGGACAACCATCTGAGGCACCTGAAATCCCTGGCTGAGAAAGGAACAACCCTGTCTAACACCCATGGGGGTTCCCCAAGGCAACTCTAAGGCGATTGTCTCATGTGTTTGCTCTTGACCATAATATAACCCATACCCAAGACATCCCAATGAAAATTCTTTCCTTGGGCTATCCCTATACTCAACCCCCCGCATCCCTTGCCCAAAACCAACTCCTTCAGGTTTTCTCCGGCTGCACCCTTTGTCCCAACGTATGTTTTTCGTCTACAGTCGGGAAACCAACCCTCCGAACCATCTGGGGCATTTGATCTACATCATCTCCGTCCAAACGAAACCGCCACGTGGCAAAAGCTGTTGGGTGCCGTAGACCTCCTCCCAAGCACACGCGAGCTTGAGCGCTTCCAAGGCCTCCAACTGCACGGCATTCCGGGAAGATTCGCCTCGCTGGCTGGTCGCAAAGGAGAACAGGAAGCACCAGAGGAAGCACCAGAATTGAATCCACCCCCATCGCCCAATCCACCAACATTCGAAAACAAAGGCAGATGCAGGCAGGTGTGTGTAGATCGTCCGTGTAGGTCTAAAACCCTCGCATTGATCACCAAACCCACCGCCTTCTTCCACCCTTGGGCCGGCCTCGCGCAGCTGCGCCGTCCACGGCCGCCCAAAGTGCATCAATGGCGCTGCGTGCGCAGTGAGGTGCGTGAGACAAAAGCTGAGCAAAGAAGTCCAAAAAGCTCTGGCCTCAGTCAACAGGATATGGATCTTGCTCCTTCTGCACAACATTTCCAGGTCGCGGTCAATGAAGTTCTTCCATGAAAAACTGCCGCTTGATTGGTGATGGATTGGTGAAGCAGCCTGGCACTTGGCCTTCTTGACCAAGATTTGGTACAAAAAACACATTCACTTTTATGCGTTTTAAAAAGGGTGACTGACAATCATTGCGGTCGCATCTTGAACCTGAAGAAATCATTGCAAAAATCTGATAACTTGGATTGAACCCAACCTCTTCAAAAGGGGGTGTTGTATTTATGAAGAGTCTACATGTATACTCTAAATCCTACCAAGAAATATAGATTCAAATCATGTCAACTCATGGCCCCCTGATGGCAGTCTTCACATCGGGTCCCAGTCTCGAAGGCTTCTGGTCGGGTGCTCCACGTCGCTGTCCACGGGTTGCTCCCAGTATGCAACATGCGACTGGCACGAGAGTGGCAGAGATATAGGCAGGCTGGGGGGGGCCTTCCCTTACGACATGAAAATGGTCTCTGGTGCTCAGAAGCCAAACACACCATTGGGAGCTGGAATGTAGAAACATATTAATACCAACATTGACACCTTTCTCAACCACCCCAACTGATTTGACAAATGTGGCAGTCCGTGGAGTGTCTGGGTAGTGGAAGGGAACTGCACCCTTCTTTCTCCGACGGTACATCCATGACCCAGACCCCATCCACCGGCCCTAGACAGAAAATATTTGTCCCATCCATTCCTCCATATTCCTCCCCTCACCTGACTTTTCATATTCACTGCTTGCGCCACGCACCGCACCACTGCATCACTCGCATCACCGTCGATCGCCACTCGCCCATCACGTGTGAGGTGCTGGAGGGCCGCCAAGGCCTCGTCGGACCAGCAGCAAGTCGTCATACCATTCCACTCCCGGGCCAACAGGCCTGGACGGCCAAGCGGAAAGCGAGACGTTGGGTGCGTGGTTGACGGGTGTGGGTGTGAGTGCATGTGGGTGTGGATGTGTTTATAGGTTTGGACATCTTTGGATACACTGCTTCAGGAGACCCAAAGTCCCCCCCAAAACAAGGAGCTCTTGCCTGCCAGCTCCTGATCAGGTGAGAATGCAGCCTTGAGGCATTCCTCGGAGAAGTGGATCCCAACGGAAGGCCGAAGCGGATTTTTGGGGTTGAACGACCACTTCCGAGTCGATGCGGAGCAAGGATCTTCTTTGGGTCCGCACGGCGTCTCGATGGGGCACGGTTCGCTGGAATTCTGGACTTCAACGTGCCAAAGCATTAAAGACCCATATATGTGACGATAAACATTATGTGACGATAAACATGCGCATAGCAGGTCCTTGCTGTTCCACCCGCAAGGAAAGCAAAACTTCAAGTGAACAAATGTTGCAGTATGATGCAGTATGTTACAGTTTCGCTCCTGCTCTTTTCAGTGGGTGGGGCCCTATATGTACCTGCCTCACGAGAATCAATCTGCTCGTCCAGCAGCTAACCCACACAAACATCCACAATCTAGAGCACGCTTAAACTCTGTCTCTCTGTTTTGCAAGGAGGAAGGCTACATTTTGGGTGGTTGGTGGTCCTAAATAAAGGCCACTCAAACTCTATAGACACACATCACCACGGAGTCTCCAGCGCGGCCTGTCGTTCATGCTGGCGCCAACCCTGAAGGCTTGAGGCCAACTGCCGCAGCGCACGCTCCGGGCAGCATGGTGCCAGCAAGGTCAACGCATCAAAGCCTTCCTTCGAACATTCACCTGAGAGCAAAGGAGAGAAGAGGGATGAAGAGGGAACCCCCCAAAACAAACGACAGGGTGGCCCGAAAGCATAGTAGGAAATGACATGATATACCTGTTGGGGCGCTCATGTACAACACACTGATTAGAAAATATTAGAAACACCCTCGTGGGACACAAACACACTTGCAGGGCACTCTTGTGCGACAGTCTTGTGAGAGACCCTCGTGGCCATTCTTGTGGGACACCCTTGTGGGACACTCTTGTAAAACACTCTTGCTTGACATGTGCGAGACACTTGTGAGGACACTCTTGTTGGACACTGCAGGGTGCTCATAATGGGACACTCTTGTAGGACACTCTCCTTTGCACCACGGTTCCACATGCATCTTTGCAGCCCCTAGCAGCACGGAACCACGCAAACCCACTTACCACCGAGACGGTATACAACCGAGCTTGCACCAGAGACTAGGTGTGACACAATGTAACACCACTTCCCGCATTACATTTGCACTGCCAATTTCGATGCCAAAGCTTCCACAAGTTGCTTCCCGCACTACGTTTCTACAAAGTTCCCACCCCTGAGCCTGAACCCCCTCAAGCTACTACATGTATAATATATATTAACATATAAGTCAATTTCGTTGGATTTGGGTTCCATTTCTTTCTATTTGGGTGATAAGACTTTGTTGAGGCAGTATTTAGATGTGATTTTGGGCTCACCCTTGGTTCATGCTTGTTGGTGTGCATGCATGGGTTTCGCTGCCGAGCAAGTGCTGTTGGCTCAATTCTTTTCCTCGCACCTTTGCAAGCTCATTCGTGTCTGGAGCTTAGGCCTCTTCAGACCAATCGAACAATCTGTCCCTCAGACAGCTTGATGGGCCGACGAAGATAGTATAGTGGTTTTCCTTGGATGCTAAATGCCACTCACACTTAAGGATTCAAATGTTTATGATAAGTGAGAGGCAAGTCTTAAAATGCAAGAAAGCTTCTCGGTGTAATCTCCTACAGGGATATTTGTTAACAGTGATTCCCAAATAAATTGTTGCATTGTGTTTTTCAACACCCAGTTCCTTGGTTTCCTTTGTAAATGATACCCGCCAGGTGCGGGAGAGCTCCCTCGATTCTTCCAAGTCCTTGGTTTGCAAAACATAACATGGAACTTTTGAGGGGGCTTTGATCATAACAAAGCAACACCTGACTTATGAAGTCGAGACTTAAACTGGCTTAGGAGCAGCATTGCTGAAGGCAGAAGCGATTGCCGTGTACTTCATGCCATTCAATGAAGTCGGTTTATTCCAAGCATAGAAGATTTGGGTGGCCTTCGGCTTGATAATGAAGAAGTCTTCGCCTCACAAGGAACAAACTAAAAGTCTTCTAAGTTTCTAATTTGTTTGCTTTCCAGCTTGCTCTAGGGTCTAACACTTGAACAATGTGTTGACAGGCAGGAGACACTTGGGATCAGAGCTCGCGGCCGGCTTCTGACAATCGTGTCCATTGATGGACACATCAATGATGGACTCATCTTCAAATTCCTGGAGGAGTGCCCTCCAGGTGGAGCGGTCTGTATCAGAACTCGTCTTGTTGTCGACCACCTCCAGGACAACGGATTCGAGATCTGACGTCCATGAGCAAACTGTTATCATGTCCAGGTCGCCTGCCAAAAAATCAACCAACAGCGAGAGAAAGGGAGAGATGAAGAGAGCGGCGTTCACAGAGGTGCAAGGAGATGCTGTGACAAGAAACGGTTGAGCTTGTGAGCTTGTATTTTCCAGCAATCCCTATCAATCTCTAAGACTACTTGAACAGCGATCTTCCGCTCTGTAGTGTCTAGCAACACTCAGATCTAAGGAGGTATCGCCAGTCCCCATTGCCCCACTGCTCGCAGTGAAGCCCGCCAAAAGATGGCACCGCATAAAAGCACAGCCATGCACAGCTTGTCTCAGCCCCAACTACTTTGGACAGAATTGCAAACACCTGCACAAAAATATTGAAATGAAAGAATATGCCGTGTTTCAGGCTGGCCCTGCCTAGGTGGCCTTTTGCCAAAATCAATTTTCACCCGACAGCCTTTGGCCTAGGGCTCACCACTCTCATGCGAGTCGGCCTCTTCGTCATCATTGCCATCCATGGCCTCCTCACCATCATCCCCTTCTTGGGGCTCAACTGGGTGTGACACGTGCACCTTCAATCGACGTCGGGACAACTCACTTGAGCTCATGCCTTTGATGGAGTTGACCCTGTCCGGGTGAGAGCGCCACCTCAGAAACTTGCCGTTTTAAAATCAAACAATGGCATTCTTTTCGCTTTAAAGGATAAAAATAAGGTCAACACTCGGTTCGTGCCATAGCGATGATTTCCTTCGGTGAAAGATCAGGATGTTGAGTCTTCAAACGGGTCATCGCCTCCGAGATGTGCTTGTGGTAGGTATCTCGAAGACCAACCCGGCCAGGAGTGCCAGCCTCCAATGAAATTGTTTGAGTTTTTGGAGCCATACTTCCAACCACCCCCTGCGAACTAAAAAGACTAGACATGTTTTGAACCACACAGCCTACGACTAGTTGACAATCTACCGGGTGAAAGTATGCACTGACTGAGGCGGATGGCCTTGCTTTTCTTTGACGTCTTTGACTTCCGTGGCTCCTGAGGCTTGAACTGGGAGATGGAAGCTGGACTTTTTTTCAATGGGAAGGGAAGGATTTTGACAAGTCGGGATTGTGCATCGTAGTGCTATGTGAATCTATGCGTGATGTTCACCCGTCCTGCCCCAAAACTAGCGTCTCCTCAGAGTCAGCTTCAGCATCAGAGGTTTTCTTCGCATCTTCCTCCTTCTTTGCCCTCTTTGCTTTTGCATTCTTGTTGGTATCACGCTTGGTTTCTGGAATTCTCCCCAGAGCCATCGCAACCCTTGAGATCCTTGGCTCTTCACCGGCTTCCTCTTGCCCAGCTGAGGTCTTGTCCTTCTTCTTGCTGCTCTTGGCTCCTGGGTTGACCCGCTTTCTCTTCTCATCTGGGCCTTGGTCCTCTGCATCCTCCTCAGCCCCATGTCCATGCTCCTCCTCAGTCTCATGCTTCTTCTTGGCTTGGTCATTCTTCTTGGCCCTTGCTGCTGATGCTTGCTGTGTCTTTGCCTTCTTTGGTTGCTCCTCTGCAATGTCAGCTTGTTGTTCTTTGGCTGCCTTCTTGGCTTTACCTTTTGTTTGCTCCTCCTGCTTCGGTGCTTCCTCAGCATCCTCCTCCTGTTTCCTCTTCCTGT